CCCCAAAACCCCAAAACCCCAAAACCCCAAAACCCCGGGAATATATTATAGAGTTGAAACTGGAAATTTTCATTGATAAAACGCTTTTCCATATCTAGGTAAACACAAGTGTCAGAGTGAGAATTACAAGGCACATAGAGCCTGACTTGGGAGGATTAGAGAAGATGTTTGGGGATAAGGAGTTTTGGGGATTTTTAATAATTTGTTGAAATTCATCCTAGTTGACAAATAATCATCCTCCACTTGTGTTAGGAGACTTATCTTGTTTTATAAATAAGTCAGAGAAATTAGCTCAGATTTTTAGGTCTTCTTAATTTCTATGTAGGAAAAATATAAGACCAAAAGTTCTTTCTGATGACTCATATTGTTACTTAAATACAAATTTTCTTTAATAATAGCCCGCCACTTTTTGAGATATATAACTTCTCTCTCAGTTACTAGAATATAGCCTGACATTCAGAGTAAGTGTAACAGAAACTAAATGAGTGTTTTATCTAAGATTATTATGCCAAGTCTCATGACACTTTTTCAATGAAATTTATGTAAACTGCAAAATATTGCTTGTGTACCTCACTATTGGACTATAATCCCCTTCTTCTATTAACTAGCACTGAAAGTGTCATGAGACTCTGGATCAGTACTTATTTGTCATCAAAGCTTGCATAGAAAAATTCGCTTCGATCGTTCACTGAATAAATTATTCTTTCCGGTAATGAATCTACGGCAACTGAAGAATATTTTCAATTTTTTTTGGAATCTAATAGGAAGTTTAATAGCTCAAAAGAACTTAAGCAACTTTATTTATTCATCATTTTAGTGCTTATAGCCACTTTTTGCTGTTTTATAATAACCAGATCTGGTGAAGATTGAAGACATCTTGGATCTGGAAGACTTGAGAGTGTCGCTGCATTAATAAAAACAGACTCAAGAGCTTCAATAAGTGAGTTTTATAAGACAGCAGCAAAAGTTAAAAGTTTAGTTTGAGACTCAAGAATCAGCGAAAGCTAGAAAATTTTGGATAAAATAAGGTTTTTAATTATTAATGCGATAGATACTTCTCTGAGATGAATAATAGCGTACCTCTTTATCTGCCTTCTTAGCACACTCAAAGAGAAGAGAGCCCATTCATAATTTCCATTCTAAGAAATACACTAGGGAAACCCAAATATCCTGATATTGTAAGATTTTTGGCAGGGTTTGAAACTTTGAACTGTATAAAATGAAAAGTAAACCACTTTTCAGAATTTTTAGGAATCATTTTTGATTGTGGATCAACCTTACAACTTTTGAAACTAGAATAACTTGTCCAAGTCAGGAGGAAAATAATTAACCACAAGCACTACAAAAGAGGGTTATCTTGAGTTTTCCCTCATAATTTATATCCAAATAAGTTGAGATTTTGCTAATTTTGTTCTTAACTTTTTAAAAGGCGTTAGGCTGCTCTATGTAGCCCATCCGCTCAACAAGTCCCTATCTAAAGAAATAGAATTTTTCACCTTGATATTTAATGAATTTCTGTTAACAGTAGAAATCAATTTTGAAGAGAAAAGATTATTAATACTCCCAGTAAAGTTCAGATCTCCAAATCGTGCTGGTCGATACTTTAGTACTCCAAAAGGAGGCTCTAAAAGCTCACCTAAGCATTGATGCTCACGAAGGAGCAACAATTCTACAACTTTAGTATTTATAGATATTTGGGAATACCCTGCATAAAACCTAGTTTAAATCTAGGTGAAGCTAATCATTTACAGCTTGGTGGTATTCCCATCACTTTTGTTGCATCGAACATTCAAATAAATTGGAGATAAATATGGGGTAATTTATTCCCAAAATTTAGCTGACAGAAGCCTTACATTCTGATGTGCATCTGGCCTGGTTTTCATAAATGAGAGAAAAGTGTTGAAAATTTATGAAGTCTTCAAATTTTCAATTGAAAACTAAAAAAATCCTGATTATTAACAAATATAGGTTTACTAGATTTCTTTAGCTTTAGCTGAGATGCAATTCAGAACAGGAAATTACTAAGAAAAAAGAGACTTTTATCACCTCTGAGAACTTCACACTAACCTTGGGTATTTTCGCCATTTAAGCTCTCTCAATTATCTGAAACTTATGAAATGCGAGGGAGTAACTTCTTCGAAACATTGACTATAGATTTATTGCTGAATAAATCTGATAATACTCTAATATGTTTTCTCGTTGAATCCGATTGCTATAGAGTTGCTTCCAATCCATGTGAACACCATTGAGTACCTATTGGCACTTGATCATGAAGACATGCCCAATCCCAAGATATATATGAAATTTGGTTTAAAAGCAATTTAGATAATATTAGTTGACTAAGTTCAAGCTTGAACATTTGCCAAAACTATCCTCTCAAGCTCTTAAGGATGTCACTCGAAGGGATCCTCCTTAGTAGCTTTGACTGCACCTTTGCTGGAGAGAACGAGAGAGTTCAACCATAATTTTGGGATTTCAGCTTTGCGTATCTGGTATTGCTGATTTTAAACTGAGATTTAGGAACACAGGAAACAGAACGGAGTGTATATTTCCCTGCTTCACGTGGTCAATCAATATTAGATAGACTTTCTTGTTCTACTTCGAAGTCAGCTTTGTTAGCCTTCCCTTTATTGCTCTTCAGAGTATTTCAAAACTGCTTGGTAGTTTTAGGAATCTGTGGAGAACACTCATCTTCAGATAAAAGCTGGTCTTCGTCAGCCCAGATGTCTTGGTTGGAAGAGAATGACTTCATGTGTTTGAGAATTATTATTTATTATTACTGAGCCTTCTAGTTATTATTTATATACCGGGGTTTTGGGGTTTTGGGGTTTTGGGGTTTTGGGGTTTTGGGG